GGAGTAGCCGCGGACGCCGAGATGACCACGCGGATGGCGGCGTCCAACATGGAGCTACACGCGCTGTCCACGGGCCGCGAGCCCCGCGTGGCCACGGTTACCCGCTTTCTGCGCCAGAAGCTTTTCCGGTGCAGAGGGCGGGGCTAAGATGGGCCTGGGGAGGGGCCGTTGCGGGATGGGCGGGGCTGAGGAGGTGGTACGGGGAGGGGGCGGGGCTGCGAGGTCCCGGGATACCGGAAGAGGCCAGCCTGAGGAGCTGGGCAAGGGAAGGAGCGCTGTCAGTCAGAGACGCCCGGTCACCGGAAGAGGCGGGGCTCCGGTCAGGAGGAGTGTAGTGAGTGGGGCCTGGGTCCCAGTGCTTGCGAATGACCACGCCCACTCCGCGCCCAGGTACCAGGGCCACATCGGTGCTTCGCTGGTCGTGGGCGGCGTAGACGTGACCGGACCGCAGCTCTACAGCGTGCACCCCCACGGCTCCTACAGCCGTCTGCCCTTCACGGCCCTGGGTGAGCGGTTCTGCGGGTCCCCACGCACCCCGCCCCTGGGACCCGTTTGCCCTGCGTTGGGCGGCCAGCTTACCTTAGATGCCCCTTCTGCCTGCAGGCTCCGGCCAGGACGCGGCCCTGGCGATGCTGGAGGACCGGTTCCAGCCGAACATGACGGTGAGCGACACCTGACCCCCACTATGTGGTCATGGGTGGGAAGTGCACCCGGGAGCTGGGGGAGCGTAGAGGGACCCTGGCCTGGTCTAGAGGTCAGGGAAGGCTTCTCAGAGGAGGCGGCGACTGAAAGGAGACCGAGGGGGCCGGTGGAGTGAGGGTAGAGGAGTGCTGTTTTCCAACAGACCACCGTCAGCGCCAAAGTGTTAGGCTGCCTGGAGAAGTCAAAGCTCGGAGAGGACTGGAGCTGAGGGAGGAAGTGGCAGGTGGGGTCTGGAGTCTGCATTTTGTTAGGGGTGGGAGGGAAAGGGATGAGGTAAGACCCAGAAAGAGAAAGATCCGGTGGATTGGGGGCTAAGACACGTTGATTGGGTGGATAGGCCGCTGGAATCAGAGCCAGGAAAGTGACTCAGAGAAGTTTGTAAAGATGGGGACAGTGGGCAGTGGGAACAGGAAGGGGAGAGGGAAGCAGACCAGGGAAGGGGAGTTTGGAGTGGAGATGGGGTAGAGGGGGAGAGAGGAGTTTGGGTGTGAGCAAAGGATAAGCAGTCTGGGCTTCACGATTAACAAAGCCCCCAGGCTGTAGCCTGCGGGTGATGCCAGAAGAGTCCATCAGACCTCACACACACATCGCCACAGCTGGAGGCCGCGCAGGGGCTGCTGGTGGAAGCCATCACTGCAGGAATCCTGGGTGACCTGGGCTCCGGGGGCAGTGTGGATGCATGTGTGATCACGGGGACCGGCGCCAAGATGCTGCGAACACTGAGCTCACCCACAAAGCCCATAGAGAGGTGGGAGCAAGGGAGATGTGGGACCACAGGGGAGGATGGGCTGTAGCAGGGAAGGTTGGGGGCTGCAAGAGGACAGGCCACATGATGGGCCTATATTGAGAGGCCATTTCTCCTCCATCCCAGGCACACCCAGTACCTCTTTGCCCCTGGGACCACAGCTGTCCTGTCCGAGACAGTGAAGCCACTGCCCCTGGAGCTGGTGGAGGAAACCGTGCAGACCATGGAAGTGGAGTGAAGTAAGCTGAAGCTTAGAGCTTGGAACAACAGGGAATAAACGCAGAAAATAGACACCTGAACAGATGGCTATGTTGTTCTTGGGCAGAGGGTACGAGCAGCTAGCAGGGATCTGTGGCTAAGGTATCCCTGCAGGAGCCACTCCCTCCTACGGCTCCAGTGTCTGGTCTAAGAGGTGCCCTTCAACTCATCACCCTAGGCATCTACCCTCCTCCAGAACCTCAGCTCTGGCAAGCATTGAAGACTCAAGGTGGAGCCCTAGCTGGTTTGGCTCAGTGGATAGAGCGTCGGCCTGTGGACTGAAGGGTCCCGGGTTCATGTCTGGTCAAGGGCACATACCCGGTCTCAATCCCCAGTAGGGGGTGTGCAGAAGGCAGCCAATCAGTGATTCTCTCTCATCATTGATGTTTCTGTTTCTCTCCCTCTCCCTTCCTCTCTGGGGAAAAACACACACAAAAAAACTCAAGGTGGAAAGCCCCACCCTGACTCCACACCATAGAAGTCTGCCTACCACTCCTACACCTTGCTCTTACCCTGTAGTCCATTGGGGACTGTTGTAAAACCCAAAAGTCCCCCAAGTACTGCCCTCACTTAGAGCCTTTGCCTGGCTCATTGGTAGCCCAGGACAAAGCCTACATCTCTCAGTCAAGCCCCCTTCCCCACCGGATGCCACTGAGGGCAAAAGTGCTGATAGAGGCCCTAGCCGGTTTGGCTCAGTGGATAGAGCATTGGCCTGGGGACTGAGGGGTTGCGGGGTCGATCCTCAGTAAGGGGCATGCAGAAGGTGGCCGATCAATGAGTCTCTCCCATCATTGATGTTTCTGTCTCTCCCTCCCTTCCTCTCTGAAATTAATATCTACACTAATAAAAGAGAAACATGGTAATTGGCGTACGAGCTACCCTTCCCATTGGCTAATCAGCATATCCTTATGCAAATTAACTGTCAGCCAAGATGGCGGCCGGCAGCCAGGCAGCTGGAAGCGAACATGAGGTTTGCTTGCTGCAGTGACTGCGGACTCCAACCCCCGCCTGACTTGACGGCCTCTGAGCTACAACTCTAAGAAACTATGTACTATGTTGCAAATGTAGTAGCTAAACAAAACCCCAGAAATCAGCTTTCAGCCAGCCGGGATC